GATGTTATAAAAACTGTATGGTTACTCAACATTAAAAACAAATGGCTCAACTAAAATAAAAATCTTAAATAGAGCATTATTGTTCATTAATTTAATTGTCTAATGATATAAATATAACAGACTAGGACTGGAATAAATTGACTACATCTTGACATTCGGAAATTTTCTGATTTTCTTGACTAAGAGTATCTTGCAATGCACTTATCTATTTCATTCCTACGTGGGAGGTCCATAAGAGTTTAGAGAGTTAAGCGATTCGGAAGGGCATTAAGGGGACAGTCTCATGCGATTAAAAAAAAAAGACGTATTTTAAAATTAAAGCAGAAAAAAAAACTAGAATATGTATTAACATAATTCCTTTTGGAGATGATTAAGTAAGTCTTGAAGTACATAATAAAAATTTTTAATAGCGATTTTAACTTCATTGGTGTCCTGTAGATGGCGTGTAGTAAAAAGTGCGTTTTTGGTGGTAAGACACTTTGTGGGTCACCTATAACAGATATTCAAAAAATTCAAAATGGGTTGTATTTGTGAGACTCAAAACTAGATGATAAACCTTTAAAATATGCAAATTGTATTATTTTGAAGAGTTTATACGAATTTTTTCAAAAAAGTCGAAAAATCACTATATTTTTCGGTGGATTTACCCATATATAATAAAAGGGGGGGGGGTGGTTTTTAAATATTTTAAAGGTTTATCATCTAGTATTTTGTATATACATTCGAAAAATTTTTGGTTTTTTAAAATCGGTTAAGAAGGTTCGGAGAAAAGTGTCTGACCAGTTTGAAAATGTTACTTTTGAGAAAAAAGCATTTAAAGTTTTTTTTACATAATTTTCGTGAATAAAAGGCTGATAACTTTATACTCACGTTTAATCGGCCATTCCTGGTGAATATTGAGGACCGTCTTCATCTAACAGTTGTTGTAAATGGTTTTGTAAAGCTGTAAATTTCAATACAACGTCGCGATGTTTTATAATTAATTCATTTGTTTGATTGGAGTCTCACTCTTAATTCACGCCGCGATGCTTCCAGTGTAAGTGTAAAAACGGAACACACCTAGATCGCATGTCAATTCATCGAAAAAGTGCTTATTTATAAATGTAGATATGAAAATATTTTATAACTAAAAAAATGGTTATGTTTTATTGCCAAAACGGCTTGAAAAAAAAATGATTTCTAAAATTAAAAATAAGGAATTTTAAAAATAAAATAATTATATTACACTCTTTTTAATTAAAAATTATAACCAATATTTGGATGAATAAATGTATTTAAGTATAAATTTTATAACTCAAATAATACCTAATGAACACAAACAAAATTGATGTCAATAAAACATTATTTATTATCTGCACAAAACCGGACTTTCAGGGAAAATCGGTAGACGGAGCAATACTGTCGGCGTGCCATATACGCTACTACAAACCGCTGAGGAGAAGTAATCTAGAGGAACAAATAAATTAGTTATAAAACATCACGAAGTTATAAAGAAATTTACACTGGTTAATTGCAACGCAGAGAATCTTAGCATTTGTAAAAAATCCTATGTTCCGGATTTAAAATTCCAAATGTGTATAGTAACTGCCAAACGTTATACTGATATACATACTATATAAAAATGAATCACTAATACATACCCAACGTATATACAACATATATACAAAACCAAGAACAGCGCTGGAGCCTCGCGCTCGCCGCGCGGAGAGAAACCGGTTTTCATACGTGCGTAGATGACGTTAATAAAATATCTAAAACTTATATTCTAGTGGGAATTTCTTTTTAAAATTTTAGGAGGGAGTTTTTGAATGTAAATGGAAGCGATTTATATAAAAAAAATAAAATTGATTTTTTGAAAGTTTCGCATGAGACTGTCCCCTTAAAGATATAATTTAAAGGATTGATGGAATAATTTGTTTGATATGGAGAAAGGAACAATTTTTAACTATTTTTTTAAACAGGAACTGACTTGAGTATTAATGGCAATTCTTTTATTTACCTACGGCTGTTTGATGTTTTAGAATTTGGCACATGTGTTCAAAATATTTTGACGTTTGTGAAGTCGATTAGGTGTTTGGTTTAAATGGCATGTTCTGCAAGGGCACAAGAGTGTTTGGAAAGCCTAATGTCGCTTTTGTGGGACGTTAGCGGAGTGTGAAGAGAGCGGCTGGTCAGGCCAACGTAGCAGGAGTTGCACTCGGCACATGGTATATAATAGAACTTAAGTTTGTTCGAAAGGGGACAATTATTTTGTTCTAAAGTGGAAAAATGCTAGCACCTGGAGAAACGCCAGATCTCCGGGCTGTACAAAACGTTATTCGGTGCAATTAAGGATGTATAAACAAACACTTGAAGTATGTATTTTCGTTCGAAATTCAAGTGTTTCTTTTTCGAAGATTTGTAATACGTATATTAAAACCTTATATAGTATGGAACAAAAAATGCTCTAATACATAATTTCGTTTAGATTTTCTATTTTTTTTTTTTTTTCGTACATCATCAATATTATTTGAAGCTATTTGTTTATGACATCTTAATTTTTTGTATTTAAGAATTTCCGAAGTGGAAATCAAAACGTCAAAATAAAGTTATTTGAAAGTAAAATTATGACCTATTCCCAATAAAAATAGTAAGTCTTGGTGATATTGTTGTATAAAATTCATTAGTTCAATTTCTTCTTTTTTTTTTAATGACAGTTTTTTTTTTGTAATAACTGGTGTTTTCATCCGAATCACTTTTATTTTACCTCATTTTAAAGCTCATTAAATACTTTTAAAAACATTCTGGCCATTTTTTTTGCAAAACCTTTTCTTTTTATGTTATTTGATGATAAAAGTATGGATTGCAGTTAATTCAAATAAACCGTCACCTTCATCAGATTGCAACTCGGGTTGTATAGCCGCTATTGTTTTCACTAGACTATTTTTAACTGACAAAACTCCTTCCTATCCCTGATTTCTTAGCGACAAAATTATGACAGATCTGTCACGAAGGTGTCTGGTAGTTCTATTGTTGTCAGTTTCACAAACGTCATTGAGGCGTAATCAATTTTGGATAGATATATCTAATGAATCCAGACGAAAAATTAAGATTTGAATGCCAGTCAGGTAAGAAATCAAAAAATTGGTCTGGGAAAATGTCCCATTGAACACGCAGAGGTCCAGAAGCTCTATTTGAACTCAATTTTCGGAGTTCTTACGGCTGAGAAATTTTACGCTTGATTATTATGCCTTTAACATGAAAAAAGGCAATGGCGAAGACTATAAAGAATCGTCTGCAAAGTCAATGTGGAATACTACAACAAAAATGGTACAAGAAAAATATTTTACTGAGTACGGCATAAAAATCGACCCTTTCACAGATATATTTTTCAAATGTACAAGATTGGCCAGAGATGCTAAGCGAAGGGAGATTCAAACTGTTCAAGAAAAAAGAAAACTCAGTTCAAAAGCATTATCCATCGAAGAACTATTAAAAATCATCCAAAGCTACGACGAGGTAACCTCCGATGGAGCACAAAAAAGTTTTTCGCCTTTGCTCATTTGAACTTACTTGGAGATTCAAGCAATGAGGCCGTGGACTGCAAGATTTGCTTTTTCCAGAAGGAATTTGATGTTATGGGAGAATTTACTGGCCGAATTGCATACAACAGCATTTTTTTCAAAACAAATCAAGGCGAATGAAATCGTAGGCTTCCACGGCCAGAGTCAGAATTATAGTTTATTCGTCTTCCGGGTTTGGACCGTGTCATTTGTGAGTGACCCAAAAGTGGGTTCATCTCGACGTTTCGCTACAATTGTATGTAGCTTCTTCAGGAAAACAAAGAAAAAGAAATCAAAAGACAGGACGATGGGTAGTTAGCAACGGTAACTCAGTTACTCAACGCAACCAGAGGCGAATACTAACTACCAAGATGGGCATTTTGTCACAGTAACTCAACTACTTAACGCAGCCAGAGGTGAAAACCAAATGCCTGGACAGGGATTCACGTCCAACAGCTCAGAACACTAACGCGTCGAGAGGCGGGGAATGAATCCGACGATTACTCCGCTACCGCTCTATTTCCGCTGAATAGAGCGGTAGCGGAGTAATCGTCGGATTCACTGGCATTTGGTTTTCACCTCTGGCTGCGTTAAGTAGTTGAGTTACTGTGACCAAATGCCCATCTTGGTAGTTAGTATTCGCCTCTGGTTGCGTTGAGTAACTGAGTTACCGTTGCTAACTACCCATCTTCCTGTCTTTTGATTTCTTTTTCTTTGTTCTCCTGAAGAAGCTACATACAATTGTAGCGAAACGTCGAGATGAACCCACTTTTGGGTCACTCACAAATGACACGGTCCAAACCCGGAAGACGAATAAACTACAAATCAAGGCGGTTCGAAAGGTTTGGCAAGCAGCAAATGACTGGTAAGAAATTCATCAAACGAAAATTAATGCCCAGTTATTTTTGAAATTAATGGAAAAAGGGGACCAAAGATTTTATCAGGCAGATTCTTTCTTGTCGTTCACCCCAACTGGAAGGATTTTTTATTCAAGTTTGTTGCCTTTTGGCAATTTTCGCTTATGAAATTTTGACAAAAGATTTATTTTTGATTCTTATAACTTTTTGGTACTGTTTTCGATTTATTTTTGGAAAACCACCCAAAAATATGCATATTTTTTAGGTAGGAAATCAACAATTTCAAGCGTAAAAATTCTATGTAGCATTTTTTGTAATAAATTAATTTTTCTATCTTTTTCGGGAGTTATTTAAAGGTTAAATATTTTCAGGCCCGAGAAGGAATGGAACTTATCCCTATTCAGAGCAAAAAACATTCAATATTCAGAGCATTTAATATAAATAGTTAAGAATAAAACATATTTAAAGTTAGTTATAAACAATTAACGAATTGTCAGATATTTACAAAAAATAGAAAACATTTTCGATAGTCTAAAGTTTAAATTTTTATTAGTGTGTGTTTTTACAAATCAAATGCATGACATATTCATTTATTTTTCAGAATGAAAAGACGCCGATTAAGGCCCAATCTAGTCCGTATTCCCTTTCGCCTCTCAGTACAAGTAGCCAAAGACTTCTTCGATCTCCACACAAAGCGACAAGAAAGATATCTAGGATTCCTTTCAAGGTACTGGATGCACCCGAACTCCAAGACGACTTTTATCTCAATCTGGTCGATTGGTCAGTACAAAACGTTCTCAGCGTCGGCTTAGGCAGTTGTGTCTATTTATGGTCTGCGTGTACAAGCCAGGTAAATTGTATTGCTAGATTTATATATACAATACAGAGTGGACCGAAAGTCTGGAAACGCCTAATTATCAATTAAATGGATGGTTATACAAAAACAGGGATACTCCTGTCTTGCAATATTTGGAAGCTTTGAAATTTGATGTTTTAACGTTGCCAGACTTAGCATTTTTCGGATATTGTTAGTAACTTATGAGTTTCTCTAGAAATTAATATGGATTCATAGATCATTATTTGCCTTAGCTCTGCCACACTTGCTGGTTTAATTTTAAAAATCCTACTTTTCAAGTATCCCCAATAAGAATAATTTTTACGATTCAAATCGGGTGAACGAGGAGGCCATTCCGTCGTCCTGGAAATTTAACTAGATTTAAATAACGCCGAACATATACACCAAAAAGACTGAAACCATATTAAAATATGATGAAGAACATCATGTGAACGTATGAATTGATTATTTTTATTTCATCCAGGTGACCCGGTTATGTGATCTGTCAAGTGATGGAAATGTAGTTACGTCAGTAGCTTGGAGTGAACGAGGACATTTGGTGGCCGTAGGGACACATCTCGGTTACGTAACGGTATGGGACGTAGCAGTCAATAAGCAAGTGAACAAATTGGTAGGACATAGCGCTAGGGTTGGTGCTTTAGCATGGAATGGTGATGTATTAAGTTCTGGGAGTAGAGATAGACTGATATTACAACGAGACACCAGGACACCACGTGAGTATTGACCGTTTATTTAACAAGATTTAGAAAAAGTATAAGTTGTTCAAATCTTTTTGTCTAGCATACTCTAAGTTTTACAGGCTTCTTTGTTTTTGCATGAACATAATAAATACATGCTTGTAACTCGCTTATATCTTCTTTATGACATAATTACATCAACCATAAGTAAATTAGAATATACGAGCTCCTATATGTAATACTAACAAAAAAAATCTGAAAGTTTACCACTGAGTTACATCCCCCTTATTTTTAATGACATCTACTATTATTCGAGGCATAGTTTTACCAAGTTCTGACAAAATTCTAATGTAAACAAATCACATGTTTCTTGCCATTCTTCCTTCAATTCGTTGACGACCTGGCAGGATGTTTTCTCAAAGCTTTTTTTATTTCGCGCCACAAAGTCCCTATCGAGGAAAATCGGGACTGTTAGAAACGCATTCCAGAAGTGGTATGCCATGGTCTTCAATCCACTTTAAACTATTTTTTGAGGTATGACAACCTGCGCCAACCTGTTGGAAGATAATTGGTATTATTAAAGCCTGCGATTATGTCGAAAAAAAAAACAGGTTAAAATAATACATTTTTTGAGTGACTCCTTATCTGTTCTTAAATACTTCGCTAACCCAATTAATATGATGGCTACTGATACAAATCCTTTTATTAGAGAAAAAAAGTCAATACGAATTAAAATTCACTTGGGTAAAAGCTCATATAGGACTTCGTAGCAATGAAGTTGCAGACTCCTTAGGCAAAGAAAGCGTTACAACCGGAGAGCATATCAACAACAATTTAGGTGCTCAAGAATATTTAATGATATATAAGAGTAATTTTAAGGCAAAATGGGAATTGCATTGGAAAAACTATTGCTCTAATAACCTCACACGATATACACTATTACATCCAAGTATTCCGACAGGTTTGTGGCACCAGGATTATGATTTTACAAGAAATGATATTGTGACCATTCGTAGGCTAAAATTTGGACATGCAAGCTTCCCTCAACACTTATATAAAATCAACACCGAACTTTGTGAAACTTGCAATGTGGTTTGCGAGTTAGATCACATTTTTTATGCTTGTAGTAAATTTGAAATACAAAGACAGGAACTTATTAATAGTACATTGTTTACCGGGTAGGAAAAGCTTAACATTCCTGGACAACTTTGAAGATTGCTAAGTCGAGGCGCAAGCCGAGACTTAGTAACACAGAGTCCAGGAATGTGGCTTTTCCTACGAGGCAAACATACTATTTTTCCGCAAATCGTTTAAAATTCGACAGATATTGATTGATTTAAAAAAAAAAACGCGATAATTTTATTCCCAAATAAATGGTGCTTTGAAATTCCTAATAAAATTACTTGGGTTACTATGGAAACGTAGGTTGAATTGTGAAACTTGACGCTTATAAATTTAATTGCTGGTGTTCTCGAAAGTAAAATGATAAAATGTTCTCTGGTGCCGACATAACTAGTTTAAAGAGGCATGGCGGATGGAAGTCATCAAACGTTGCTGAAGGATATATCGAAGAATCGCTTAACAATAAGGTTGAGGTGGCAAATAAAATTTTCACAGTACAAAATATTCAACAAAATGACACTTCCACCCTGCATGTTGTCCAAAATGTTTCTCATAGTTCTAAGAGTGTTCCTCCAATGTTCAATAATTGTACTAACTGTCAAATTACTGTAAATATAACAAATTGATCTTAAAAATGTATTCAGCAATGACTTGATGTTTTCAAAATATAAATTAGTTCCTTATAAGCAATGTGTTTTCTATCATTTATGTAGAACACTAACAACTGTACGGAAATATCATTTTCTTACAGTAAGGAAATGACATTTCCTTACAGTAAGGAAGTCCTGACTTTTTCTTCAAGAAATTTTGACAGGAATGTCAAAATTTCCTGGCGATTTGCGGAAAAAGATTATTATTGCAAAAATTATACCCCCCTTTCAATCTACTTTATTTGATATGATTAAATATATACAAGCTATATAAAATTATTCTTATTAAAATGTGTAACTTAAAACTTTAGTGTAGGTGTTAAGCTCGTTACCTCTGTCAAATATTTCGTGTCTCGAACCGCCAAATATTTTCCCTTTTTACCTATACTTTCTGTGGTCTACACTTTCTGTCTGTGAGTCGCCTTGAATGACCCTAGGTGCAAAAAGTAATCCTAGCTCTTCTCCCATCGTAGTTCTTCTTTTAATTTCCAGAATTGTTGTGTATTTAGTTTAGTTAGAATAGGTGAATTTAAGATTTTATGTGAACGTTATTACACATTTGCTGCTGGCTGGATGGGCACATAGCCCGATTGCAAAAAAAAAATGTTTTCCAGAGTTTCTTTTTAGTTTTAATATTCAGGACACTTGTTCGTTTTTCTTTTAAAAACCTCACATGAGTGATATAATACAAACTATCTTATATTTTTGTACACCAACTAAATATATCAATAAAATAATCTACCCAAAAATGGTAATGCTGGAGAGTTTTTTCATTTTATCAAATATGCTAATTTTGGACTTATGGAAATATTATGCAGTACTATCTCATTTGTTTAAAAAATGTAGAAAATTTCATCTACGTTTTAGTTTTCTAGTTACAATACAAATGTTTCATCAGTCGACCTAATGTTATGATAATAATTAATGAAAGTATGACTTTACATAGCAACTTAATTATTAATAGATCCTTCGATATTAATAACTGCATACCAAGTTGCAGTATAAAATCAATAATAACTAATAATGCTGAACAAGCCTATGCATGTTTACAATACAAGCATGTGTATAATAGATGTCAATAATTAAAAATTTGCAATTGAGATGTTGATTATTATTATTGAGTTAATAACTATAAACAAAGAATATGTAATCACTTCAACTGTATACACATAACATCACGTTATTACATCGATGAAATTCCGTTTCTATAAACATATTTTATTACAAAACTTTGAGGACAAGGTCTTGATTACAATCCAGGTAAAATGGATGCATATAATATTCAAATGAGTCTCGTGCCAATATTAATAAGATTAAAAGAGATTTTTCGCATAAATTGGTAAACAAAAAGTCGAATATTTACTTAAATATTCCTCAGCTGTTCGCTTTTCAAGAATCCCTTGGTCTTACTCTTCTTCGCTACCGATTTCTGACCGTCGCGTTTTCTTCATGTCGTCCAACATATTTCTCATTTCTACACCTATAGTGACCACACGAAAGTCGAATATTTACTGGAATATGGAAATATTTGTACTCGATTTAAGAAAAAAATAGAAAAATTGATAAACGAATAATTGTTTGGTTTTATGGAATAATGTCGACCTTATTAAATAAATAACTTCAAAACGTATTTATCCCTGTTTTCAACTTACAGACCAGGAAAATTAACAAAAAAAGATGGAAAAATGTTATCAGATGGAATATACAAAATAAAAATAAATTAAACAGCTGAACAGTTCCGGTGGTAATTTGGGAGATTCAAAGGGGGTGAAAAAGTTTTTTTATGTCCTGCTAAATTTGACATTGCACCGCTCTCTTGGGTGTGACGTATTCCATGATGATTCTTATTGTACATAATACTATTATAGGTTATCGTCGCTGTCACATCTGCTGAGTTGAGGCATCTTATGTCGATTTTTTTTTTATCGATGTATATCTCTGTTGGCTAAATGATCTTCGAAATAAAACTAAGGCAGCTCAAACATTTTCTCCTCCAAACCCTGAAAATCTAAATCTAAATGAGTACTTCGTTAATGTGAGTAAAAATACACTGATCGGCAAAATTAACGGAACACCTTAAAAATGGGACATGTTAGATGACTCGAATTTCCTAAACCTGTTGTCCGATTTTAGTGATTTTTTAGTATGTTATAGGTATATTATTTAAGAATATCAATGAAATAATATTGTTGCTAGACAGGTCAACGTCATTTTATACCGGGTGTAACAATCATACTGTGTTTTTTTCCTTAAAGTTCGAAACACCCTGTGGAATATTCTAGCATATATAAAATATTGAAATTAAAGCTTAATTATAGTCTCAGGCTTTCTTAACATTTTCTTTTTGATTCATTTGCTTGTGTTGGATAATAAAAAAGTTAGGTACGTTAACAACTAGCTATGTTTTTCATCAATAAATGCTCATTTTCTTCTTAGTTTCACCAGCATATTTAAAGGAACAACCATTTTCTCTCTAGTCTATATACTGTTTAGATAATATCATAATACGAATGTTGGTGAAGTATTTTGAATTTATATTACAATGGTAGTACAATATAAAACCTGTTTAAGAAGAAATAAAACACAAAGATGTCAGACTCAACAAAATACGGATTTTAAATGCATTAACTTTATTGTACAGTTTGAACTTTAATTGTTTTTTTATGCATTTTTTTGGCTTTAATTGGCGTGTGTTTCCCTACGAGCCCTTACAACTGCAGTTATTCGTCTTCTCATTCTTCTGATAAACCCTATCGATCAGTTGTTGGGCAGCTTCTCCCATTCCTCAATCTTTTGCAATTGTGACTTCTTCTCTGTTTTGAATAGCAGGAACCCGTGCCCTAAGTTTTCTGCCTAGCATGTCCCACATATCCTCTATCGGGTTTAGGTCTGGGGAACAAGCTGGCCAATTCATCGTTGTTATACCCACTTGTAATAAGAAATATCTTACACTTACACTCTTACACTATAAAATAAAATTTTCGCCAATATATGGTGAAAAGGGTACCACATGGTCTTGGAGAATATCTCTGATATACTTATCTGCTGTTAATGCTCCACCATCAATCACCACTAACTCTGTTATTGCTCCCAAACATATACCGCCCCACACCATAATTGAACCTCCACCAAAAGGTACGGTCGTAGTAAAATTGAAAGGGGCATTTCGTTCTCCTTGGCTTTAATACAATCTTTCTCTACCGTCGATGTAATTTACACAGAAACGGCTCTCGTCCGTAAAGAGAATTTGACTCTAGTGGTTATCATTCCAATTT